GAGACTATTAAAGTTTGTACTCCTGGTATCTAGAACACTAACTGTTCTTAATAGCATTTGAAGATCTTTCCACCATGCAGGATTAAAAACAGTATTTATTTCTTAACACTTATGACAAAATTAAAAACTAAGTTATGACTGAGAGAAATAACGCATAGTAGGAGATCAAAGGCAGTAAACTAACTTTTATAATACGGAGTTCAGGTTCTATGTACAAAGCTAAGAAGCACCAAGAAAAGTAGTTTGGAGGGGGAAGATGAGGGAGGGATACCTGACTTTTTCCAGGGGGGATGTGCTGCATGATGACATCAAAAGATTCACGAGAATCATGCTTTGAGCTTGAAATTAAACAACTTTGCTGAAAGCAGGTTTAGGTTTTCTTCTGGAGAAAAAAAGAAATACACAGATTTATGCATCTCCACTCCCTTCTGCCTAATCAATTTCTTGCTTTTTACCTGAATTGCACATCCTATTCAATAGCTAACCACTATGAGCAGCCCTTTTTAAGTAAGAGCAGAAAAAAAATTCCACTCTGGTACATTAATTTACAGATACTTTCAGTTTATTATGAACTCACAATATCTACTGAAATCATGCAGTGTATAATCAACTATAAGGCAGCAAAATTGATTGCCTTCATCTCAACAGAAAAACTGCTTAATCAGATATAACTTCGAGGCAGCCAGACTTTCTGTAACTACCAGCGAGTTTTGAAAGTGACAGCCTAAAGGAATGAAAAAACCAAACCAAAACACTATTCTACTACTTACTAGAGCTGTCCTACCGTCATTGCTACCTAAGTGGCAATCTCCAAAAATGGTAGGCAAACAACTGGGGAAAGCAACATCTTGAAGTGCTACAGTTAAATTCGCTAGAGGATATTTATCAGAATCCACAGCGGAATAAAAAAGTAGGAAGCCTATTACAAAACACTGATGGCATTGTTAATACTCTGAAGGACAAAAACTCACCTGAAAATGTTCCTTAAACTTGTTAACATTTGCTCTCCTATATTTTCATAATAAACAAGAAGCAAAGCACAACAGGAAATCTGTAGAGTGAAACAGTCGGTACTGAGAGCCCACCACCTGCTACAGGCAGACCTGGTCCTGCAGACTAAGCACTCGCTAACAGTTGAAGGACATCTTCAAGGTCAATTTTTAGTAAAAGAAATCTAATTCCTGCTCCCCAAGACCATTCCATGATGCAAACATAACCACTGGAAGCAGAGAGTATCAGGAGATTTGCTTCAAACACACACTTCTAATCCAAACACGAACACTTGCATAGTTGCACCTAGAGATACAAACTAGGACATCAGCAGTACCTGCACATGTTCATGCACGAAGAGGAATCATCCTGGAGAACAGCAACTCAGAAAGGCTTAAACTAAACAGCAGTTTAAGACAGCTTTCTGGTTACACTGCGTAATCACAGGTTATCAGTACCTTAAAGAACAGAAGTCAAGCACCGTGTCCTGTTAGGCAATAAGACACTAAACATCCATGATAGTACAGTCCAAGATACAAGGAAGACACAGTGCTGCTAGTAGCCTACATGAATCACTGTTTCACTCAAAAAAAACCACCCCTAGAAAAACCTCAAAAAAAAATTTAAAAACACTACGTAAAACCAACCCAAAGGTCTTGTTTAAGACATGATATTTGAAGCAAGTATTGCCATTCTACTCTCCCTCTCTGTAAATCCTGCTGCCCAGCTACAGGGTGATGATAATCTGCAAAGTATTCCCCAATACCTTGCCCCATTTTCAACTTGTTTTAATCAATCATAACAGTATTAGAGTGAAAATAACAGGAAAATTAGAGGTCTTTATAAAATTTGGCTAAAGAAAACTTACATATAGACTTACATAGGACTTCCAGTGAACGTGAAGAGTGTCCTTAAACTGGTTTATTTTTTATTACATTGCCAACTGAAAGTTCAGAGTTCTTTGGTCTTGACAAATTATTCATCTCTACCAATTTTCTCAGCTCAAGAGCTAACATCCCACACAACTGATGAAGCCACCTACACCCATTAGCAGGATTTTAAGCTCCCAAGTTAGATATGAATGATGCCCTAAAGAAAAATAATCTTTCAGTGTAGTTTCACTGAAAACAGAATACTATGCTCTTCCTAGTATGAACAGTAAGAATGCCTGCATAGACAGTAACTGTCTTTGGAATAAGGCTGCCATCTAGTAGCAGAATAGAGTAAACGCAGAGAAATCTCAAGCCAGAATTTGAACTGTGAACCTGCTTGACGGTCTGACAGAGATATGAACCCTGGAAGCATAGTTTTTCAGAAAAAAAGGGAAAAGAAATGGCAGAAAGCAGAGCTTGCTAGATTATGGTTTATAAACATGCAGTTCTCCAGCACAATCCTAAACTATTCTGTTCACAACATCAAGTTTATCTAGTCAGGTAAGTCAACACGTAGAGGTGATATTTTTGTGGTGGTGATATACTTGGCCTTCTTCCAAGTTAAAGGAAAAACCTGCAGCCTAATTCACTTTTTCTGAAAGAAGATTATTTTCCTGTGTGAGGTCTCATGCTACAAAATGCAGTGAAACAAATCAAGTTAGACTGAACCAAAAAGACATTCAAAGGCAGGGCCTAATAGCTTATACTAGAAATAGAGAATCACAAAAAAAAAAAAAAGCTGTATAAGCAGCTTCCTGAAGTGTTACATATTTATTCTTGCTTCTTGGAAACTCTGCAGTTCCCAAGTCGGAGCTGCAGTACATCATCTCTCAGAATTTAGCTGTCACTGGCTTTATTTTAGTTTTGTAGACCATGATCCAATACATTTTACAACTATAATCTGCAATGATTTGCCACAGTGTTTCATCGGTTGATCACCTCTAACACACACAAAGGGCTCTTGAGATGCCACTGTGTGGATGCCTATTTCATACAACACAGATGCTTTCCAGTTCAGTCACTGAATATGTTCTAAAAAAAAAAATAATAAAAAACTATGTCTTAGCATACCACAGGCTAGAGTTACCTGGGCTTTTGGAAGATGCGGAAGTGTCTTGTCTATATAGGAAATAATGGTTTGTTTCTGGTTGGTGGGGAGAGAAAGTCAGGACTCTCGCCTTGCAAGATCCGCTGGCAAAGCGGCACTATCTCCCTGGGATATTTTCATGGCCACCTGCTCCCATCGCAGCTTTCTCGAAGAAAATGGAAGGTAACAGGGGAAGAAAAATAGCATGACCACAAGTGGGAAAGAGCTGGCAGCAGAGGCCTGGGGAAGACAAAGGGAAGTAGTACAGAAATAGAACTCAACCACTGTTTCAAGAGAGCCTCCACCAATGAAGGAGAAAAAAAGGCCTTGCGCTTTTGAGAGGTACGAACGTGTCTTGCAGTACTTATCAGAGAGGGCACCAATCTAAACGTAAAAATCGTAAGTTAAATTTTGTCACATCTAACAACATTAACTTCAGTTCCCTGAAGATAACTTTAATTCCATGTACAGGAGCAGAAAGGAACAGATACCTGTAGGAACACAGGTTACAGCACCACAGAGACTGCATTAGTAGTTCCCTTTATCCCTTCTTAACACAGTAGATCTCATTCTAGCAACAGAAGCAACACAAGCCTGATCATATCTTCAGTTTTCAAAATTAGAACTTCCCTTTTGTCCTTCTGACTTTAATAACTTACCATCCAAACATATACTCTATCCTTAAGGGTTACTCATCTGTCCTTACTACTGGTATCTGTGACAGGCTACAGTTCTGGAAAGCAGAAGTCTACATGATGTAGGGAAGTAGGCCTTGTGTTCGCAATTCCTCATTTACTGGAATAAAGACAAATGTAGATTAGTTGTTTAAGTGCATTTCCACACCCATCCCTCTCATCCAGAGTTAAAAAGTACCCCAATTACTCCTTAGGAGTTAAGAATTAAAAATCACTTTCCCTGTTTCCTGCTTCTGCTTACAAAGCTTGCATCTGATCAGTCCCTCGTGGCTTAAATCAAAACTATCATAGCTCCTTTCTTTAATGAATAACTAAGAAATAGTCAGTATTTGATAGTCTAGCTTTATTAATAAAAATCTCTGCTTCCACCTCACTAGGTAATTGTCACTAGTAAAGTAATGCGACACTGAAAAGCATGAGTAATACTGAATACAAACTAAGACATTTAGTTGCATTCCCCTTCTTAGAAAAGAGTGAATGAAATGTGACAAAAAGCTAGTATGACAGATTTTATGAATGCAATTGCCTTCTAAACCTCCTCCCTCATGATTTTATAGGGCTTGAGCTTTTTTTTTTTCCTGGTTAAGACAAAAACCCCATATACTTACTGATGAAAGAGCTTTGGCTCAAATTGCACTATACCACTTTAACAAAGACAACTTTGTTGAATGTTTTCCCCAAACCTACTTCTACCAGAACAGCTCATTTTTGCAGACTCAAGTAGGCTTTTGCTTTGGTATTTACAGCCAACAGTCCAAAGACAATACTGCTAAGAATTACACTTTTAAAAAGACAGACAAAAAAGCTGATGAGAATAAAAGGAACTAGTATATCTTCCATCATTTGGAAATACCAACAAGAAGATGCTAGCTGCAGGTCTACATCTCTGATGCCTGCTTCTCTCCCTCTCCAGTGAATGATGGGCCAAGAAAGAGTATGGGAGAAGTACTTACCATCTGGACAAGGCAGACACCCAGCAAACAGTCGTTACAGAGCCAGCGCTTAGCTCTCAAATTTCAGGAGTCTGACCACAAAAAGTAGATGTGATTTTTAAAAAACAACTCTGTGTAACAGGGAATCATTTTCTGGAGAGAATTCATAAACAATACGAAGTTGTCAAGCAGAATAATCCCCCCAAATGAAATCACTTTAATTTTCTTCCTATCAGCATTATATCACACCTATTAAAAAATGCAAATCTAAAGTCATCCCTAGGATGAATACCAGATTTTTAAGAGGATTAAAACCAACACACCCTAAGTATCACAAATGTACTTAATTCCCAGTTCAATAAAATATTGGAATATCAATTTATTAAAAAGTTATGTGAACTGTACATATGTAAACTGCAACATAGCTGAAAAATCTGAAATATATAATTTTAAAGGAAAATCATTTATTTCTGAAAATATTTAAAATATTGCATTTCTGGCAGCAAATTCAAAAGAAGTGCTCTGGAATGGGTGCAGTCTCTCTGTGCATTTGTCTAGCATTTGTCTTCAAGGTGTAAAACATATCTGCTTTCTGATTTTTCATAGCACAATCTTGTGAACACTTTCCTTCTGACTTGTAGAGACAGAATTCGACTTCCAAGAACAACAGCAGAATTTTAACAGGAAATAGTATGGTCCTCGATGGTGCAGACAACACACTTTCCGAGAGTCCACGACACCTTGGAAATATGCTAGCCATTCTGCATATAAATGCCTCAGATTGTGCTTACAAGTTACAGAATAAGTCTTTGATTGATAATTTTTCTGTTTATTTCCGCCAAGGCCACTGAAAATACGAAGGCCTTTTCATCTGAAAGGTTAGCATACATGTCAACTTCTTTTTCTTGTTTCTCTGTAGAAGAAAAAAAGGTCACTATTAGAAGCTTTTTCCATTATCTGCAGTCAATTCACGTTACATAGTAGTTAATAAATGACGTGGAATGAAGTACTGGAATTGAAAAGAGGTTAGACAATCAACTCCTAGGCAGGGAGGGATTGAGAGAGAGGAGGAAGAAATGGAAGCACACAAAGGTGCTAGAAGAGTCACAGAATGAGTCATCCAAAAGCATGACTGAATTTCTGTTCTTTAATGACAAAGAAAGAATGAGTCACTAACATTTATACTGATTCCTGGCACAAAAGAGTATTCAAGTGCTCCTCCAGTTTTGGGGAGCTTTTTTTTTTTTTTTTTGCTTTTACACAAACACCTCCCATCCTAGAAAACAAAGATATTTCACCATATCCTCATTATATATGACATTTGTCCCCGTATTTCATATCTAAGTAACAGAAATAAAAAAGTTTAATTACAGTGTCCAAGACCAAAGAGCAGATACATGGCAGATGTCAGGTTCCCAATTTGTCACCATGAACACTTCTGGAATTTCTATACCACAGACTTTCAATCTTATCCCAGATATAGAACAATGCTAGCACCTCAGTCAGCAAGGGAAAGCCTCTGAAGTCCCTCTGCTGATGTTGGCTTCTTTCAAGGCTACAGATACACAACAGCAAGCCATCAAGAAGTTTCCATACTCAGTGCTCAAGTACACTAAGTTACTCTATAGCATATGACAAAACTAATAGAATAGTACTTTCATAAATACCACTTACTCCAGCTCTTGACTCTTTATATCCCACTTTAGCTAGCCATGGGTAACTGACACAACTCATTAAGGAAAAAAAAATAAAAACAAACCAACAACAAACAGCTTTGTCAGCAGAAGACCAAGCTTGCAGGCACAGAGAAAAGCAGAATACATATAGAGCTTTAATGCTAGTGTCTAGCTGTGGAACTCCATGTCTAATCCACGTTCCACAGTAGCCTGGACCAATTTACAATCACAACACAACACTCAGCTGACAGACCCCTCTGTCTCCTTAACACACAGATACACACCTGCACACTCTTTTTGACCACAGCACACTGGCAGACTGCTCCACCAAGACACCTAAATCAGCAACAGGCAGGTGAAAAAACAAAGCTGCATCGGAAAATAACAAAAGCACCGTGTTGAAAAAAGATCCCAGCGTCTCCTATCTCCATTTATTCACATGCTTATTCCTTCAATGCCTCCATATTCATAACAACATTTTTAGATTTGGCTTCACATCTGATTGTCTGTGTTACAGCTCTGGACACCATTTCAACAGACTACCTTCCCGGTGAAGTTAAGTGCTTGTGTTAAACAACTAAGTGGGAGAAACTGAAAAATCCTTTTCCGCTGTGTTCTGATTTAATACTGATAGAGGCACACAGCAACAAAACCCTCTACTTAAAGATTCTAAACAACTTAACTCACACATAAACTCACATTTCCCTGCCAGTAAAATTACTTAGTGAGGAGCCTGAACACACAAAGACGTATCAGTTTTTAGTCTGAAAACAAGCAACTTGCCTTAGCAAAATAAAACAAATCAAAGCATGTTTGATATTTGGAATGTAAATGATTTCTGCTTGTTCCCTGGCTACACAAGACAATATTCTCTAGTGTATTGAGTTTGAAATGAAAGCTGAGTTTCTGCTCAGCTGAGAAACTGAGTGTTGCTGCAAGTCCTACCCTGTCATTTAAGACAAATCAGTTTCCATATGTACACTCAGTCTGGGTTGCTCCACTTCCTTCCTCCCCCCATTTACAAATTAACAATGCTGGGAGTTGTTCCGAGCACAGACATTATGCACACTGGCTAATCCACATTAACCTTTTCTGTTTTGATATCTAAACCCCGCCCCTTTTTTCATACTTCCTGATCCAAGCAAATCCAGCCACCACCTGAATAAGTCAGCACCCAACAAAATTAAAAATACTTTTTTCCCCTGGTTACTGTTAACAGATTGTAGACTTCTTAAAAAAAAAAAAAAACACAAACTTTCTCAAGTTTCTTCAGCTTTAAAAATTGAAATCTTGAGATCAAACAGCATCAGGGATTAACACAGGCTTGCAAGCTTTATGCATTCTCAAGACAATTCCAGTTCTCATCAGTAATAGTGAATAGCTTGCACCTGCTTGACATTTTACCATATGCTACTCATAGGATACTGTGGTTTCTACAGACTCTATTAAAACTTTCCGCTTCACAGTCTTATCTGAAAGTAGTTTTGACTCGCTTCTCTATTGTTAGCAAAAAACTGTCTTACAGAATCACAATACTTTTTTTGTAAGATGTTAAAAATACTGAGGCTTTTGATACACAACTAAGAGGCTTTTAGGTGAAAATATTCAGTCTTCCTGTAGCACGTCTCTCATATCCCCAGATCTCCTGCAACCCACTAGCTCCACAGCCCTTAAAATTGTGATCTATGTATAAATCAAATATGGACACACGCACACCAAATTTTGTATGGATTCAAAATCCAGTGTTCAGAGATTCACTATCCAAGCTAGTAAATTACTTCAAATGTGCACACTGGGCAAGCAAAGGTATGAGTAATACAGTTGGAAACTACTGGAAAAGGAAAACTTGGGTCAAGAAATTTAATTCAGCTTAAGTTTTATCAGGATACTGAAATGTATATATCTTTCAAGATTCACCACTTCTTAAGTATCAAGAATACTTTAGTAATAGACCCCAGGCCACCCAGAGTCTCACTTGATGGTAACCTCTTTCAAGAGCAGAATAACCAATACCACTTCCTCCAGCACACAAGGGTTTTTGTTTGTTTTAATATAATCAAGTTGTTACCTAGATAACAAGGCAGCCTGGGAACCTGTCTAGCTGTGTATCACAGTCCCACACAGTAAAATAAAAAAAAACCAACCATACCACCACAACAAAAATCAGAATCATTATTGTGAAGTTTCTATTTTCAAAATATATCGTCACATTTCTGACAAAGAAATTAAGTGACAATTTTGACAAGCCAAGCCTGCAGTGAGAAGTTCCTGTTTTTCAGGGACATCACACGGATCTGAAACACGCGATAGGAATATTCTCTAGTTCCCAGCACTCTGCCATATCCCCCCCAATCTACATCAGCTTCCCCCTTCCTCCCCCTCCATTCCTTCTTACTAAATCCGCAGGAAAAATAATTTATTTTAAAAAGCCCTTTTGCTTCTCCTGTTCTTAACTGCTGTTGAATCCTGCAGCTCTTTGCTCTAACTTGAACCAGCCAGGAAGGATAAAAAAGAAGCAGTCAAAGGCACAGACATAACAGGGAACAAGCATGCTATGCATGAAAAGAGCACGACATAAGCAAGGAAGCAAAGTTACAGATGTCATGGGCGTCTTTAGGATGAAAAATTTCACAGCTGGGTTATCTTCAAACAGACAAATTATCTGCTCTTGCATGCTATTATAATTCAGGTGTTCTCTGTTCTCCTGTTTTTCATCTACAAATTCATTAGGCATTGCAGAAGGCTACGACGCACCAAATATTTAACAGCTCTGCAAACAGTGGCCTATCTTCAAGTCCTTTGGGGGAAAGAATAACACAATCTCCAGTGGTAAGCAGTGTGTACCCAAAATATCCTAGAAATATACAATAGGCAAGGAAATAATATACTTGAAGTCTAACACTGAGCTAAAGTCTTGCACTCCAAAGCTGACTTTCGACACTACCTAAAGAGACAGAAGGACTAGCAATGAGTCACAAAAAAATCACCTTAATTGAAGTAGAGAAATTAGAGTTGCTTAGTAAGCTTTTACACAAGCAACACTATCAAGCAGCAGGTTTGGTAAAGGAAGAGTATTTCTAAAATTCCCCACTAATTACTACCCAAGTAGTAGTCAGGCCACTTGAAAAGGGAGAAGTTAATGTTAACTTGTTTTATAGTAATTACTTACAAAATTATGGATTCTCTGCTGAATTTATTTTTATAGCCATGACAGCCATATGTATCAACTTTTTAGGTTTTTTTTTAAATCTGCCCAATAATCACCACAGTGATCTCCACAGATTCCAGTCTGACATAATCAGAAATAAGCCAGAAGTCAGAAAGCATCCTAAACCCACTTATTCCTAACCAATAAGGCGTGCTGCACTGGTGAGGAGCAAAGATAATCCCAAATGGGTGTGAACCCAAGCTCTGTACCAGCTCTGCAGAAGAGGTCAAGGAAGAAATAGTAGCAGCAGCCACAGTACCAAGTAGAGGGGATGGTAGGACAAGAAGATGAAGGCAATCTCCTCAAGTGAGATTCAACTTTAAAAAAAAAAAAAAACCACCAAGAAAACAACACACCACACATGCACTCTTATGCAAAGATCTCACTACATCCGTATTTCTAGTTTTCTACCTCAGAGCACTAGCATATTAGGAGTATACAACAAGAGGTTAAAAACATTCAGACTTGTTTTGGATAGGAAAACATGTTCTCTAAATATCCCCCATGCTTTCAATTCTTGCTTTTTGGAGACTGTAAAACATGCATTAAGAGAATGGATATTTTCTTTTGATTGCTCAGATTACTTTCCTCTTTTCCAGGAGACAGGAAAGAAGATTTACTTTTTTAGGGCAACACAACAAGCTCAAGCCAAACTGTGTGTGAACTGGACTGGCAGTAAAGTGCCTAGAAACAATCCTATAGGTGCTAGACAAAGTCAGTAACAAATAGGGAAGCTCTGTATTCTGTGAAGCCACATGCATCAATAAGCCATATGCAACAGTGAAAAGATTAGATATTATAAGTGTATTCCTATTACAGTAAAGCAATTACCATCCAGAAAACATACAGAAATCAAATTCTATCTCCTCTTTCCACAGCCAAAGCACTAAAACAACAAAATCCCAATTTATACTTTGTTTTTATAAGAAAGAAACTTTAAGACAAACAGATTTACATTAAACAGCAGACAAAAAAATTGGTTTTGAAAAAGTTAGAAGTTAAAGGAACTCACTTTGCAACACAGATTAACACCCATTTTTGTTAACAAATAAGGTGGCAGGGGAAAAAAAAAATTTGCATTTCTGAGTTATGCCACAAGGTACGCTTGATGGTTTCAGCAGTTTTAAGAACAAGACCTTCCAAGTATTTATATGAAGTCTTCGTTCTTCCCCTCCTAACTGCCTTCCAGCCTTTTTAAATCTATGCTAAGTTTTGGATTAATTACTCAGGCCTAAAATTAATATCTCCAAAACCATAGATAGCAAATGTAGCGTCAATAGTCTCTTAAAAAACTGGGAATCCTAAGTGACAGTCACATACTTGAAGGGCTCCAAAATTACTCTGTTGTGTGTAACACTCCTTATTGTATAAAGACTGAGAACAGCAGGTCACCAAGGAACCTTAATAAGCAAGGAGGCATTCTTTCCTCCAGAGTATTACTTTGGAGAAACATGGAACAAGAATTCAGGTCACAGTAGTGACTCAAGATGCTTTTTTTACTTCGGCCCTCCAAAAGGTTTCAAGGAACTTTTTAAGCGATGCAATCATCCTAATCACACTCTGATAATAGGCATCATTATATTGTTTGTCTTTGTGATATAGAGCAGCAGTACCTAAAAAAAAAAAACAAAAAAAAACCCCACCAAACAAAAAAAACCTACTAAGCACTACAGTCCTGTATGTTGAAACTTGATCTGGTGGCTAAAAATACCGACTTAGTTCTTCATAGTTAGTTCCAATTAAACACTGGAACATAAAACCAGAGGTCTCTACAGATGTGAAACACTCCCTTCCCCATATTAAGATATTGGGTATTGGCTGAACTAGTCTAGCTACTTAAATGGTTTGAATGGTATAAAGGTTTATTGACAAAAAAACCCAATCTTCACACACAAAGAAAACCCAATGAACATTATTTCTCCAGTTCTCATACCTCTTTCTTCCTCATGCTTTTTGGCTGAGGCACTCTTAGGTCTTCCTCTTCCTCGTCTGCTATGATCTGAATGGCTGTTAGATCTGGATCTTTTTCGGTTTTCTAAGTCTTTATTTACTGCAGAATTTATCTTCTCTCGCTTAACTCTCTCTGTCCGTCTCCTTTTGGCCTCACTCTTGTTTTCTGTGCAAATGAATAGAGATGGTATGATCTAGGGTTGTTTTCATCTTTGTTCTTAATTTACTCTTAGTGCTTACCCCACCCAATAACATTTTTTCTTTAAATCTCTTAGCAAAAGTGGTTAGATGTCTATACCTTTACAGAACAATTACATCTGCACGATAGCCATGCAGAAATTAAGGCGTCAGATCAAGAATGACACTTCACTTCTTGATTACAAGGATAAAGCCTTTAATTACTCCAAATGCATTTTGCAACACGAGACATTTGCTAGTATACAAAAAGTTCAGTTTCCCATAATAAGATGGAAAAAAAAATACACGAATCGCAGCCATCAAGACAGCTCACTGCATGTTTCCACCAAATGCATGACACCAAGCTGTGTGGAGTGGTCAACATGCTGGAGGGGAGGGATGCGATCCAGAGCGACCTGGACAGGCTGGAGAGGTGGGCCCACGCCAACCTCATGAAGTCCAAGGTCCTGCACGCGGGTCAGGGCAATCCCATGCACAAACACAAGCTGGGCAGAGAACAGATTGAGAGCAGCCCTGCTGAGGACTCGGGGGTGCTGGTGGTTAAGAAGCTCAACATGAGCCGGCAATACGCACTCACTTATGTTGGGGCGCCCAACATAAGAAGGACGTGGACCTGTTGGAGTGAGTCCACAGGAGGGCCACAAAGATGATCAGAGGGCTGGAGCACCTCTCCTATGAAGACAGGCTGAGACAGTTGGGGTTGTTCAGCCTGGAAGGCTCCAGGAAGACCTTATAGCAGCCTTCCAGTACCTAAAGGGGGCCTACAGAAAAGATGGGGAGGGACTCTATCAGGGAGTGTAGTGATAGGGCAAGCGGTAATGGCTTTAAACTGAAAGAGGGTAGATTTAGATTAGATATTAGGAGGAAATTCTTTACTGTGAGGGTGGTGAGACACTGGAACAGGTTGCCCAGAGAAGTTGTGGATGCCCCATCCCTGGAATTGGATAGGGCTTTGAGCAACCTGGTCTACTGAGAGGTGTCCCTGCCCATGGCAGGGGGGTGGGAACTCGATTTTAAAGGTCCTTTCCAACCCAAACCATTCTATGATATGATTCCATGATTCTTTTGACACTAACAATGAAATCATTCCCAATGCTCACACAAACCAAGATGCTGAGTCAATAATGCTGTCAGTAAATGCCACGTTACATAGCATACATGTCCCACCAAATGTAGCCTATGACAAGGCCTCATAATACTTAATGCTCAACAGGTGTATTGTTTTCCTACACACCAGAGTAAAAAAAAAAAAAAAAAAAAAAAAGAGTATTTACATGAGTTTCACCTGTAAATTAAGTATGGATTAACAAGTTTGGGTACTGAAAATAGTACAGTCCCCACACAACACTATTCAACATAGACTAGTTGCATATTTGCAAGGCTGTAGCACCATTCTGCAGTAGCTATATCGTTGAAAATAATGGAACAATATTTTCTAAAAGAAGTTGCAAATACCTTATGAGCACAATACAGATATACACAGTCTCCCTTTATATCTTCCTGGAGAACTGGCTTCCTTCTGCTGCAGTTGTCCCATTAATCTTGTATAGACACAGGGTACAAACTGGACAGCAGGGTAATTTGTCACTAATGTTAATACAAAAGCTGTATTTCACAGTATCACAAAAAGGTTGAGGTAGTGACAGACCCCTGGAGACCAACCTGTCCAACCCCCCTGCTCAAGCAGGGCCACCAAGACAGACGGTTGCCCAGCACCATGTCCAAATGGCTTTTGAGTATCTCCAAGGATGAAGACTGCACAACCTCTCTGGGCAACCTGTGCCAGTGCTTGGTCACCCTCACAGTAAAATTGTGTTTCAGTTTGTGCCCATTGCCTCTTGTCCAGGCATCACTGAAAAAAGCCTGGCTCCATCTTCTTTACACCCTTCCTTCAGGTATTTATATAGATTGATAAGATTCCCCTGAGCCTTCTCTTCTCCAGGATGAACAGTCCCAGTTACCTCAGCCTTTCCTCAGAGGAGAGATGCTCCAGTCCCTTCACCATCTTTGTGACCCTTCACTAGACTCTCTCCAGTATGTCCATGGCCCTGTTGTACCAGGGAGCCGAGAACTGGACACAGTACTCCAGGTGTGGCCTCACCAGCACTGAGTAGAGGGCAAAGATCCCCTTAACCAGCTCACAATACTTTGCCTTACACAGCCCAGAATACTGTTAGCTGCCTTTGCTGCAAGGGCACATTGCTGGCTCACGTTTAAGCTGCTGTTCACCAGGACCCCAGGTCCTTTCCTGCAAAGCTGCTTTCCAGCAGGGTGGCCTCCAGCATAGATTCGTGCATGGGGTCCTCCCTGGTGCATTTCCTACGTACAACGCTGAATTATACAAGAGCTTTGCTCTACCAGGATATGGCTTTCAGCTTCATTTGGTAACTACTTTGTTAACTTTCAAACAAAACAATCAAGGAGGAGGAAAGCAAATTGACCGATACTTCCAAACAGTACCACAGACATTGCCTTATCTCCTCCACCTTGAAAGTTCACTTATCTAGCATAATGTCATATAATTCCTACAAGCTGGTAAACTACAAGCATCCTTCAAAACAGCGATACAAAATATCAAAAAATTAGTTTGTAGACCTGTTAGATAATTTTAAAAAGTAGACATTATAAATCAGATAGTTGGTTTGGTTTGTTGTTTGGGTTTTTGTTTTTTTAAAACTTCTTCCCTGACAGGTGCTTGTTCTGACTAATTCCTACCAGGACTGGAGGAAGTGATAAAAATGAACACAAGGAGAATGTTAATCATGCCAGAATGCATATTCAACCAACTTCTTACTGTACCCATCAAAAACAAAAGACACACAAGCTAGACACAAAAAATACACTATTTTTTAATTTAACCATGCAGAGAGATGCAAGACCCACCTGGTTTTAGATTAAACATATGACAAATTTTATACAAAGTGCCATTCAGGTGTTCATGAATAAGCACAACTCAGCATAACTTCTTCAAAAAAATAGGATTTTTACTTTCAGAAAACCCAGCTTCAATCAGCATGTACTCTGAAATCTGATCCCTTTGGCACCTCTAGATATTTAGCTTCAAAACAGGATTAACAGAAGGCCTTCTGTAAGGAGTTATTTTGCATAGTAACCAATATGCACAGCTAGAATATACACAGAATGCCAACATCACCTGAACAAAGGAAGTAAGACTGAACACGCCAGCTTTTTACCCCCTCAAAATTCAAGAAAAATTAACATACTGAACGTCTACCATGCACAAATTCAAGGGAGAGTGAACTGACAGCAGTCAACTTACAGAGAGAAGTAAAACACTATCCTTTGCCTCCAAGAAATAAAGGAAAAGAACTGGCATCCCCTTCTTCCCCATCTCTGTATTACCTGTGATGGGTGGTGATCTCTCAGCACGTTTAGCATGCAAGAGTTTTCGACTAATAAATATGTAGCCACAGGGACATGATTTACATGCAACAGGAACCTGGGAAGACAAAAGACAAATATTTCAGATTATTTCAAATTATGACAAAATTCCTGTCCCAAGAAGAAAAAAAAACTAGTAACTTCCATTTTGTCCTCAGAGATACCTCTTCAAATTCAGTCTGTACTGCAAACTATGGCCTGTACTATTATCCAATTGTATTTAAAGACAGTAAACCCAGGTTCTGCTGTGAATCACCCACCAAGCCTTTTCTTTATGCAGTTGTTGAAATCAAGCTTGAAACATACAGCTGTTGTGACCACTTTGTACTGCAAACCCTTTTCCACAAACTGTCAAAGGGAGTGGGGGAAAGTGGAGAGGACTAAAGCAAGGGTGAATTACACTAGAAATTTAATTTCTCTTCAGTGCTTTCAAATATCCCTAGTTAAATCAGTCAGGCATTCCCAGTTTTGCTGCCTTCATTTACTTTTTAAAAAAAAAAAAAAACAGGTATTACAGAAAAAGTATGAGTTAAAACTGTCAGTATATTCTGAATACATTCACTTTCAGAAGCATTTGAAAGCAACTCATTTAGAGAGCCGGAGCAGCTTTAAACAGGAGGCATAATAGAGCCCGAAGCAAAACAGACACATTTGCACCACACTCTACAACACGGTTGTAGACAAGGCTGGGTGGTTGCAGAAGGATCTAGTTAATTCAAAATGCAAATAACCTACCACAGCTAGTCAAAAGCTGACTGCAGGCTGAAGAGTTTGAGAGACTATAGTGCTTCTGCTGATCAGCTAAGCAGTCAGGAGCAGTATGTTAGAAAATGAGAAAATCTAAAAATGCCACACTTGCATTAACAATGACAAAAATCTTACTCTGAACAATTAAAAAAAAAAAAATATGCTGATAAATTACAAATCTCATTACCTTCACTTAAAGCCGAGATCTTTCGAGATCTTTTAAAGTAGCAAAGAATACACCATATTGCTTTGATTAGGTTTAAGACTGAAAATACAAATCAAAGCAAGTTTAAACAGAGATCTGGAAGAGATTAACGCACATTAAAGTCAAGTCATGTTGAAGCACGACGGTGGGGAAAAAGAGGCAGGAGGTAATTTCTCAAACGTAATTCTTTGAGACAGGTCTCTACAAGTTTGCCAACATCCACTGAAACAAACAAGACTACAGAACCATGACTGCCTGCTTAATTTTACCAGACATGCAAAAGAACCAAGTTCCAATGTTCTACTGGCTAGGAAAAAAACTGCCAAATTAGTACATGAATTTGTAAAGGGGAACTTAACTGATACTCAGAATAAAAAAAAAGTATTTTGCTTTCTGTAGCACATCTTAACTCTTGCACTTCACCCTATGAACAGCTTACAGATAGACTTTTGATACAAGTTTTATATAACTAGAGACTTAATTCCCTCTATGGAGACACTGACATAAACCCAATTCTAATCAAGGTTTATTGAACCTTAAAGCTCAGAATTTAGCAGACTTCTGTGTGCACTTATCTCCTTGTTCACAAGTCAGTATAAGAATACTAAAAAACACTATGTAGCAGATAGTTTGTCTGTACTGTTAAGGTGATACAGGAGTTCCATTTAAGCCCATTTTTGAACACCTGGGTCTCTCCAATAATTATGTTTCCAGGAGCAGCCTAAAAAAAAAGTGAGGAAAACCACCCAAGGGGATTGGAGCAGACCCAATATTTTTCAGTGAACTTAACTGTGTTCAACAGAACAATATTGTTCTCGTGTTACAGGTTTGGCATGTAGATGTGTGTCATTTGGGGGGGGAGGGATTGTGTGGGAAGGGTCATATTCACTGAAGGATATCAGTTATCCTATGAAGACCTACAGTGATAACATCCTATAACATAATTATTAAGGCAACATAATCCTACAAACACCATTTTACTCTGTTTAATATTTTTCTAACCAAAAAGAAACTGAGTCTCTCATACAAGAAAGTTTACCTGAAGCTAAAATAAGAAGTGATAATTATTTCTTTGATTGACCGCAAGTACTTCAGGCTCCCTAGTTTAATAGGGCCATGCTTTGGTTGTGAAAATATCATCAAAAACCTTCTTTTTTTTTTTATTTAAAACAAGTCTAAATGGCAATTACAGACATCTAAACTACAACAGGAAAAGTTTAAAAGCCTAAGAAGTGTTACTCAATATTGTGCTCCAATATTTGTGACTGTCTAAATATTTCCATGTGTGCCACAATTAGTGAAGAAAACAGAAACAAATGCAAAGCCCTTGTTTATGGAAGAATTTAGGAAATGCTAGTACAGGACACAACCACTTAAGAGTCACACAAGAGCTTCCCCACACTCTGCAAAGGGCTGACTTGTACTGTAGGTTTTAGTTTCTTGTCCTCTCTAAAACATTTGGCACTGAAAAACAAGGTCCTATGAGCAACGTTTGTGCCAGGGCAGGACACATACACACATTAATTACACACTGGCCACGGAAGAGTTGCTAACAGAAAATCTACATTGACATATGCATAATATGTGTTTTAGTTTGAAAGCACAGAACAAAGTGAAAGTTCCAGCATCAGCTTAAAAAGCCTATAATGTTTACTTACTTGCTCTTCCTACTGCTGGTGGTTTGACATTCACTACATTTATTTAAACAAACAAACAAAAAAAACCCCACCACCACTCTCATATTCAACTTCTCACTTATTTGAATTTCTTCTTTCCCCAACTGAATAACCAGAACTTGGTACACAATTTCTTCTCAGAAATAGTACTTTGCTGACGTGCTTAACACGTGAGCATTTGCAGTCGTTCATCTATTGCTTAAAACATGAAAGAATGTCGTCGTCGTCCCCCCCCCAGCTTAACATTCCAAACTGTTCCAGGATGAGTAGAAACTCTATAAAAACTATGCAAGTCAGAACAAATAAGATGACTTCTTAATCTTTATAAGAAAAATGGCAGGAGATTTTTTTTTTTTTTCAGGCATAGCTAAAATAGCATATACCAGCCAACTTTCAGGATCAAATAATAGAAATGTGTTTCCCATGATTACACGAAAAAGCCTCTGCCCCTGCCCTGTGCCCCAGAGCAGCCTTCTGCAGTACTGCGCTATTGTTCCAGCAGAGGAGCGCTGCTGGAACAAACTGGCCTATTTATAATAGCAACATCATTACCAGTAAAAAGCGTCAATGAAGACAAGCTCGTAATATAGTAACAGCTCAAATCCGCTGTTGTTAATGTTTAAGTAACTCTGTTTTGTACACATAACAGAACTGCCGTTAGGCATAAACAACAGTTCACCTATACGTTTGGATTAAATGATAGAAACGGCAGCAAAGGTCTCAATTTTGCTGTGTCTAAACTACTCCATGAGAAAACACCACAACTGAACCCTCTCCCAGCTGGCTTTAGGCACATTAGTCATCCGAAGGACAAACTGCATTGCATAAATTATTAAGTTCGTTATATTTTTAATAAATTGCATAGTTACTAAACAATACTAGCGCATAAACAAACAATTCTGCACGTCGCTTCAACATAACATAACCATTACACTACGCTGCAAGAGGAACACCATATTCAATCCACATTCCAAGCAGAGACTGCAAAGACAACTTATTTACCGCACACAAACGTTGCTGCACAGCGGCACGGAGACAGTTTTAACTCCCCCCCACCCCACCCCGTCCATCAACCGAACAGCTCAGCCGACGGTCTCTCGCACGGCTGTGGCAAACGCGCGGTCCGCAGCGGCGGCTGAGGCAGGGACGGAC